GGGGGCACCGAGCAGCGGCCGGCCGGCTGGGTGCCAAGCAGCAGGCAGATGACCGGCGCCTGGGTGGTGAGACCCTCGGCCGCCCTGGGGAAGAGCCTGGTCAGTGGCGTTGGGAGGGGTCCAGCCAGCAGGAGGCTCCAACAGAGGTGGCCCTGCAGCCCAGTGGACACTGGCCGGGCCCAGCCACCCCAGGGTGCCCCAATTTCTGGCTCAAGCCACAGTGTCCACACTGCTCCTGGCTCCGCAAAGCGGCACCTCGAGAAGGCGCCTCGTGCCAAGCCCCGCTCAGGGCGCAGCGGGAGGCCACGGACAGCAGCGGCTGAGCCTCTACACCCGCCTGGACGCCCAGGTGCCCCACACCCTGGACTCGGGGCACTCCTCAGGGCCCAGCCCCGTGGCCCCGGAGGAGCGGCGCCCCGGAAACCGGCCGGCCCTGGTGTGCCTGCGGCTGCCCAGTGTGGCTCAGGCTCTGCCGGGCGTGTGGCCCGCAGCCGGGGAGGGCTGTTTGCCTGCGCGGGGGCCAAGGGGCGCTGGGGACGCCGGCCAGGGAGGCCTGGAAGCGGCAGGCCAAGGTCGGAGTCACCTCTGACCACGTGGCTGTAAAAATAGCCTGTTGGAGACGTCCCAGGTGGTCAGAGCCTTTTAATAGAAAATGCTGGGCAGGGACAAAGGTGGCACCGGGGCACAGGCCCAGACCCGCTGCCTCCCTCGCTCCGTCTGCGGGCAGTGGGAGGCCACACTGGCCGCGGGGCGGGGCGCTGGGCGGCGGACACTCAGCACACGGTGGACAGCGGCGGGAAGGGGTTCTGCTTGCTGACAACCAGCTTCTGGTGTTGGTGGGAGATGTAGCCCTTGATGTGACCCTGTGGGGAGGCGGCTGTGAGCCGGCCGAGGCCACCCGCGGGCCGGGGTCATGCGCCCCCCGGGGGCCGCCCACCATGTAGATGAGGTTGGCCAGGATGCACTGCACTTCGTCGATGTCCACGTCCTCCACCTGCATGAACTTCAGGGCCACGAGGAAGGCGTCCAGGGACAGCTGGTGTGTTCTGAGCAGCAAGTACCTGCAGGGAGCCGGGGCCGCCCGCTGACTGTGGGACCGGCCAGTCCTGTCCCAG